GTCAGTTTTTTTTTTTTCCTCATTATGCACTGCGTGCTGCAGGATTTTTTTTATGTGGTGCACACTCAGCACACATACCCATTCTCTCACATGTGGGCCTACAAGCATTCTCCTGCTTGATTTGAAGCTGCTAGAATTTACGCGTATAAATATGTCCAAAACAGTGGCACGCAAGACATATACAGTGGACCCCCGGATAACAATCAGCTCCCAACTCGACCAGTTATGTAAGTTTATTTTTGTAAGTGCTTTTGTAGGTGTATTTTTAGGGATCTGAAATGGACTAATCTAATTCACAATATTTCTTATGGGAACAAATTCGGTCTATAACGGCACCCAAACAGACTTCTGGATTGAAATAATATCGTTATGCAGGGGTCCACTGTACAGTGGAACCTCAAAAATCAAACTGTTCCCAACACGACCAATTATGTAAGTGTATTTTTGTAAGTGCTTTCATAGGTGTATTTTTGAGGGTCTGAAATGGACTAATCTAATTTACATTATTCCTGATGGGAATAAATTCATTCGGTAAAGGCACTCGAACAGCCTTCTGGACCGAAGAAAGTTCGATATTTGAGGTTCCACTGTATATAAGACAAAAACAGTCAAGGGGTTAAATGTCGACAAAGAAAGGGAGGAGGTAATTTCATGCACTGGCCAGGGAGGTATACCATCTTTTAGAAGTAAAGAAGAGCAGAATGTGAGTGTGGGGGAGGTGCGTGAGGCATTACATAGAATGAAAGAGGGTAAAGCAGCTGGAACTGATGAGATCATGACGTAAATGCTAAAATCAGGGGGAGGGGATATAGTGTTGGAGTGGTTGGTACTTTTAATAAATGAATGAAAGAGGGGAAGGTACCTAGGGATTGGCAGAGCATGTATAATTCGTTTACATAAAGGGAAGGGGAGACAAAAAGAGATTGTAAAAATTATAGAGGAATAAGTTTACTGAGTATATCAGGAAAAGTGTATGGTAGGGTTATTGTTGAAAGAATTAGAGGCAAGACAGAATATAAGATTCCAGAGGAACAAGGACGTTTTAGAGTGGGTAGGGGATGTGTAGATCAAGTGTTTACGGTGAGGCATATATGAAAACAGTATTTAGATAAAGGTAGGGAAGTTTTCATTGCATTTATGGATTTAGAAAAGGCACATGATAGAGTGGATAGGGGAACAATGTGGCAGATGTTCCAAGTGTATGGAATAGGTAGTAAGTTACTAAATGCTGTAAAGAGTTTTTATGAAGATAGTGAGGCTCAGGTTAGGGTGTATAAAAGAGAGGGAGACTACTTTCCGGAAAAGGTGGGTCTTAGACAGGGATGTGTAATGCAACCATGGTTATTTAATATATTTATAGATGGGGTTGTAAAAGAATTAAATGCTAGGGAGTTGGGGAGAGGGGTGGGATTAAATTATGGGGAATCAAATACAAAATGGGAATTGACACACTTTTTGCTGATGATACTGTGCTTATGGGAGGTTCTAAAGAAAAGTTGCAAAGGTTAGTGGACGAGTTTGGGAGCGTAAAGGTAGAAAGTTGAAAGTGAACATAGAAAAGAGTAAGGTGATTATTTTTTATTTTATTTTATTAACACACTGGCCGATTCCCACCAAGGCAGGGTGGCCCGAAAAAGAAAAACTTTCACCATCATTCACTCCATCACTGTCTTGCCAAAAGGGTGCTTTACACTACAGTTTTTAAACTGCAACATTAACACCCCTCCTTCAGACTGCAGGCACTGTACTTCCCATCTCCAGGACGCAAGTCCAGGCTGCCGGTTTCCCTGAACCCCTTCATAAATGTTACTTTGCTCACACTCCAACAGCACGTCAAGTATTAAAAACCATTCGTCTCCATTCACTCCTATCAAACACGCTCACGCATGCCTGCTGAAAGTCCAAGCCCCTCGCACACAAAACCTCCTTTACCCCCTCCCTCCAACCTTTCCTAGGCCGACCCCTACCCCGCCTTCCTTCCACTACAGACTGATACACTCTTGAAGTCATTCTGTTTCGCTCCATTCTCTCTACATGTCCGAACCACCCCAACAACCCTTCCTCAGCCCTCTGGACAACAGTTTTGGTAATCCCACACCTCCTCTTAACTTCCAAACAACGAATTCTCTGCATAATATTCACACCACACATTGCCCTCAGACATGACATCTCCACTGCCTCCAGCCTTCTCCTCGCTGCAACATTCATCACCCATGCTTCACACCCATATAAGAGCATTGGTAAAACTATACTCTCATACATTCCCCTCTTTGCCTCCAAGGACAAAGTTCTTTGTCTCCACAGACTCCTAAGTTCACCGCTCACCCTTTTCCCCTCATCAATTCTATGATTCACCTCATCTTTCATAGACCCATCTGCTTACATGTCCACTCCCAAATATCTGAATACATTCACCTCCTCCATACTCTCTCCCTCCAATCTGATATCCAATCTTTCATCACCTAATCTTTTTGTTATCCTCATAACCTTACTCTTTCCTGTATTCAATTTTAATTTTCTACTTTTGCATACCCTACCAAATTCATCCACCAACCTCTGCAACTTCTCTTCAGAATCTCCAAAGAGCACAGTGTCATCAGCAAAGAGCAATTGTGACAACTCCCACTTTATGTGTGATTCTTTGTCTTTTAACTCCAAGCCTCTTGCCAAGACCCTCGCATTTACTTCCCTTACAACCCCATCTATAAATATATTAAACAACCACGGTGACATCACATATCCTTGTCTAAGGCCTACTTTTACTGGGAAATAATCTCCCTCTTTCCTACATACTCTAACTTGAGCCTCACTATTCTCGTAAAAACTCTTCACTGCTTTCAGTAACCTACCTCCTACACCATACACCTGCAACATCTGCCACATTGCCCCCTATCCACCTTGTCATATGCCTTTTCCAAATCCATAAATGCCACAAAAACCTCTTTAGCCTTATCTAAATACTGTTCACTTATATGTTTCACTGTAAACACCTGGTCCACACACCCCATACCTTTCCTAAAGGTGATGAGGGTATCAAATGATTTAGATAAAGAAAAATTGGATATCAAATTGGAGAGGAGGAGTAGGGAAGAAGTAAATGTTTTCAGATATTTGGGAGTTGACGTGTCAGCGGATGGATGTATGAAGGATGAGGTTAACCATAGAACTGATGAAGGAAAAAAGGTGAGTGGAGCATTGAGGTATATGTGGAGACAAAAAGCATTATCTATGGAGGCAAAGAAGGGAATGTATGAAAGGATAGTAGTACCAACACTCTTATATGGGTATGAAGCTTGGGTTGTAAATGTTGCAGCGAGGAGGCAACTGGAGGTGGTGGAGATGTCCTGTCTAAGGGCAATGTGTGGTGTAAATATTATGCAGAAAATTCGAAGTGTGGAAATTAGGAGGTGTGGATTTAATAAAAGTATTAGTCAGAGGGCTGATGAGGGGTTGTTGAGGTGGTTTGGTCATTTAGAGAGAATGGATCAAAGTAAAATGACATGGAGAACATATAAATCTGTATGGGAAGGAAGGCAGGGTAGGGGTCGTCCTCATAAAGGTTGGAGGGAGGGGTAAAGGAGGTTTTGTGGGTAAGGGACTTGGACTTCCAGCAAGTATGAGTGAGTGTGTTAGATAGGAAAATGGAGACAAATTGTATTTGGGACCTGATGAGCTATTGGAGTGTGAGTAGGGTAATATTTAGCAAAGGGATTCAGGGAAACCAGTTATTTTTATATAGCTGGACATGAGTACTGGAAATACGAAGTGCAATGCCTGCACTTTAAAGGAGGGGTTTTGGGATACTGGCAGTTTGGAGGTATATGTTGTGTATCTTTATACGTATATGCTTCTAAACTGTTGTGTTCTGAGCGCCTCTGCAAAGACAGTGATTATGTATGAGTGAGGTGAAAGTGTTGAATGTTAATGAAAGTATTTTCTTTTTGGGGATTTTCTTTCTTTTTGGGTCACCCTGCCTCGGTGGGAGAAGGCCGAAGTTAAAAAAAAATGTATTACCTATCTCCAAACCCCTTTCTATAGAAAGTTCAGTCAAAGATCCCCCATTATCATTTATACCTAGCACCTCAAACTTACCTACCACACTCTCTATAACAATTTCATCCACTTTAGCATTCATGTCCCCAACATAACTACTCTCTCAATTGGTTCAAAACTTCCCAAATGCTCACTAAGCATCTCCCAAAATTTCTCTCTCTCTCTCCTCTACACTCTTCTCCAGATGCATAAACACTTACTATAACCCACTTTTCACATCCAACCCTTATTTTAAAACACATAATCCATGAATTTATGCATTATTATTCCTTCTTTTCTTTCTATAACTGATCCTTCAACATTATTGCTATCCTTTCCTTAGCTCTAACTCTCTCAGATACTCCTGATCTAATCCCACTTATTTCTCCCCACTGAAACTCCCCTACCACCTTCAGCTTTGTTTTGCTTAGAGCAAGGAAATCCAACTTCTTTTCATTCAAAATATTGGCAATCATCTCTTTTGTATTATCTGTACTACATCCATGCACATTCAAACATCCCAGCTTTATAAAGTTTTCTTTTTTTATCTTTGGTAAATTATACAGGAGAAGGGGTTACTAGCTCATTGCTTCCAGCCTTTTAGTAGCCTCTCATGACACACATGGCTTGAGGAGGCAGATTCTTTTCCACTTTCCCTTGGAGATGAAAGGAAATAGATAAGAACAAGATGTAGAAAATAGAAGAAAATTCAGATCAGTGTGTATATATATATATATACATGTACATGTGTATGTAATGTTACCTAAGTGTAAGTAGAAAAAGCAAGACATACCTGTTTTCTTGTGTGCTCATGAGACAGAAATAAAAACCAGCAATCCTACCAGTGTGTAAAAACAATTACAGGTTCCTGTTTCACAAGCATTTGGCAGGACAGTAGTACCTTCGTGGGTGGTGGTTGTCTACCAACCTACTACTCTTACAGTAGTTATTATAAAAATAAATCTCACCACTGGGGAGACAGCCGTTTGTTGTGTTTGTGGTTGTAACTGCTGTGGCTGCTGCTGCTGCTGCTGCTGCTGGTGTTGGTGTGACTGCTGCTGATGCTGATGATGGGGCTGCTCAGACATGTACTCAGCTGGTGGGGCATACAAGAGTGAGGCATCCCAAGAAAACTTTCCTGATAAGTCACGCAGGATGAGTCTCACCTGAAGGGAAGCATGAAATATTCTTAGGTGGAGTAGAAAATATCATGATACTGAAACATAGTATTGGGGAGGTAAGTTTTTCTTGCTACAAATAATCTTAAGCATCCACAGCAGCATGTGTAAAAGAGTTGCATAAGAATTTGTAAGTAAAGCTACAGTAGAATGGTACCAACTTACAGAGAATGTATATTAACCGTTAAACGGTCCAAATGTAAATATACATTCACTCGCGCAGTGCCCTGAATATTTTGATTTTTTTTTTTTTATAGAAAAAAGAGCACATTTTTTAAGCATTTTAGAAAAAAAAATTTTAGGGACAGTACTTAAGGAGATATGAGGCCGAGAAGTTGGCACTGGATGCTCATGTGACAGCAACACTGAGTCCTGCCGCTTGCAGAAGTGTTACCGATACACCTTTTTTTCTATTTTTCATATTTTATGTAATTTTTATGTTCTGATAATTACAATTTGTAGTAGTTCTTGTCATTTTATAACCAATCCTTGTTCTGAAACTAGTATTAGGTACTGAAATTGTACTCAAATTGTCACAAACACACTGACAGGTGGACATTTACACTGCCTTGGACATGTACTATTGTCTTGGAATATAAACAAAGTATTTATAGGTCCAAGCAATGTTCTGGATATTTGTAAGTATAATAATAATAATAATAATAGGAGGAGGAGGAGGAAGAAGAAGAGGAGGAAGAGGAGGAGGAAGAGGAGGAGGAAGAGGAGGAGGAAGAGGAGGAGGAAGAGGAGGAGGAAGAGGAGGAGGAAGAGGAGGAGGAAGAAGAGGAGGAGGAGGAAGAGGAGGAAGAAGAGGAAGAAGAGGAGGAAGAGGAGGAGGAAGAGGAGGAGGAGGAAGAAGAGGAGGAAAACGAGGAAAAAGAGGAGGAACAAGAGGAGGAAGAAGAGGAGGAACAAGAGGAGGAAGAACAGGAGGAAGAGGAAGAAGAGGAAAAAGAGGAGGAAGGAGGAAGAGGAGGAGGAAGAGGAGGAGGAAGAGGAGGAAGAAGAGGAAAGAAGAGGAGGAGGAGGGAGGAGGAGGAGGAGGAGGAGGAGGAGGAGGAGGAGGAGGAGGAGGAGGAGGAGGAGGAAGAGGAGGAGGAAGAGGAGGAGGAAGAGGAGGAGGAAGAGGAAGAGGAGGAGGAAGAGGAGGAGGAAGAGGAGGAGGAAGAGGAAGAGGAAGAGGAAGAGGAGGAGGAGGAGGAGGAGGAGGAGGAGGAAGAGGAGGAGGAGGAGGAGGAGGAAGAAGAGGAGGAAGGAGGAAGAGGAGGAGGAAGAGGAGGAAGAAGAGGAGAAGAGGAGGAGGAGGAGGAGGAGGAGGAGGAGGAGGAGGAGGAGGAGGAGGAGGAGGAGGAGGAGGAGGAGAGAGGAGGAGGAAGAGGAGGAGGAAGAGGAGGAGGAAGAGGAGGAGGAAGAGGAGGAGGAAGAGGAGGAGGAAGAGAAAGAAGAGGAGGAGGAAGAGGAGGCGGAAGAGGAGGAGGAAGAGGAGGAGGAAGAGGAGGAGGAAGAGGAGGAGAAAGAGAATAATAATAATAATACGTAATAATAATAATAATAATAATAATAATAATAATAATAATAATAATAATAATAATAATAATATGTTCCCTTGAAGCATGAAAAACAAAAGTCCACCCCTGACAGTGACAAGATAAGGGGAGATAACATCTGATAACAGCTGACGTTTGATGAGCATACACGAGGGTGGGAGAGGGTGCAGCTGATAAGAGAAGATTAGATGAACATCCCCCTCGCTTTGTTTTTGTTGGTACACAAACATTTCTGTCTGTCTGTCTGTCAAGCTCCCTGTCTATCTGTTTATCCGTCTAGCTTTCTGCCTCAGAGAGAGCCACAAAACAGCGTCATCACCTTTACTCACATCTTCAAGCAGAGTATAGCACTTTGTCTGGATTTTTGGGTTATCCTAGGTAATTTATTCTACATATACTTGAATTTATGTGTACCTGTGAGACAGATAGACAAATACAGACTGAAAGAGATAGACAGAGACAGATAGACAAAGAGACAGATAGACAGAGACAGAGATAGACAGAGATCGACAGACCCTAAACTTGGGGTTAACATCACTTTCCTCTTAAAAGAGAAGTGTTAATATGACATTACATCAGTGAATCCTTGGTGTTTGCCGCACTGTTTGCTTTAGCTGGCACTCAATTTAACTGGCGCTCCTACAAGGTACTAAGTGGTCTCAGATTTTTTTAAAACTGTGCACACCGAGTGTTAAGACCAATTCTATGCTGACCAGGCATCTCAGGCCAACTGTGCCAAATTTGGAGGCAGGAAAAATAAAACATATATACAGTGGTCCCTCAATAATCGACCGGCCTGAAAGTCGACCATTTCGGAAATCAACCGGTTTTTTCGACAAAATATTGACTCGGAAATTGACCGAAATTCGTTTATCGACCCGTCTCGACCCGTCGTCCCAGACGCGTATGCACGAGGTAAGCGGGCCTGGGACCCGCCTCAGCCTTCCTTCCCAGCCAGAGTGTGCCATTTTTTTTACCCAGTTAAGCAGCTTTTTCCTCTCCCCGTGCTCCAGTGAAATATTTCTATAATATTTCATTTTTTTAGTGCTTGCAAGTTATTTAAGTGCAAAATTTAAGCTACCATGGCTCCAAAGAAAGCCCCTAGTTGTCAAACTTTGGTAAAGAAGGTGAGAAATACCATTTAATTTAAGAAAAACATCATTGAACAATATGATAGTGGCGTACGTGTGGGCGAAATGGCGAGGATGTATAACAAAATCATTCAACCATATCTTCCATCATAGCCATGAGAAAGGAAATCAAGGACGCTGTTGTTGCAAAGGGGGGTAAATATGCTGACAAAAATGAGATCACAGTACTGGAAGAGGTTGAGAAGTTATTATTGGTGTGGATAAATGAGAAACAAATTAGCAGGAGACAGTCTTATGACCTCGATTATTTGTTGAAAAGGCTAGGCAGTTGCATGAAGATTTGGTAAATAAATTGCCTGCAAATAGTGGTGAAGTGAGTGATTTTAAGGCCAGCAAAGGCTGGTTTGAGAGATTTAAGAAGCGTACTGGCATACACAGTGTGGTAAGGCATGGTGAGGCTGCCAGTTCGGACCACAAGGCGGCTGAAAAATATTGCATGGGAAATTTCCAGGAGTAATAAAGGCTGAAGGAACTGAAACCTGAACAAGTGTTCAATTGTGACGAACAGGCCTTTCTGGAAGAAAATGCCAAAGAGGACCTTCATTACACAAGAGGAAAAGTCAATTGCCAGGACACAAGCCTATGAAAGGGCAGGCTGACGCTAATGTTCTGTGCTAATGTAGTGGGGATTTCAAAGTGAAGCCGTTACTAGTGTACCATTCTGAAATCCCAGAGCATTTAAGAAAAATAATGTTATGAAGAGTAAATTGTGTGTGTTTTGGAAATCTAATAATAAGGCATGGGTCACGGGGGAAAATTTTTTGTAGAGTGGTTCAACGAAGTTTTTGGGCCCTAGTGTAAAGGGAATTACCCCCTGGAGAAGAAATTGGATCTCAAGTGCCTGCTAGTAATGGACAATGCACCTGCTCATCCACCCAAAACTTGGATGACTTAAATTCTGAAGGAGTTAGGGTTCTTTCCCAGTAAAGTTCTTGCCCCGAATACCACTCCTCTCCCAAAAACCCCATGGACCAGCGGGGTCATTGCAAACTTTTAAAAAACTGTACCCCAAAAAGCAATGTTTAAAAAGGTGCTTCAATGTGACCTCAGGACACCACTTGACCCTACGAGATTTTTGGAAAGACATTTCAGTATTTTCCATTGTGTAAGCCTTATAGGTAGGCTTTGGAGGGAGTGTCTACAAGGACTTTGAACTCTGCTTGGAGAAAATTGTGGCAGATTGTGTCGACAAGAGGGTTTTGGGAAGGGTTTGGGGCTGACCTGATGACCCTATGTCAGTTTTGACTTATTGTGGCACTGGGGAGTTCCATGGGGTTGGATGTGAGTTTGGAGGATGTGGAAAGGTTGGTGGAGGACCACAACGAAGAGCTAACCACTGAGGAGCTGCAAGAGCTTCAGCAGGAAGAGAAACAGATCGCAGCTCAGAATCTTGCTGCAGAGGAGGAGGGAAGAGAGATGGAAGAAGGTGCCTTCTTAAAGAAATTAAGGAGATTTTTACTATGTGGGGTAAGATGGAAAGATTTAATGGAGAAACATCACCCAGAGAAGGATGTTGCAAGCCCATATCGGCAACTTGTACAGTGACAGGGGTCTTGGCCCATTTTAGGGAAGTTTTAATTAAAGAGACGCAGAAACAGGCTCTCTGCACAGTTTTTTTGCGAGAAGGACCCAGTGACTCTCAAGCTGGTCTAGTGGCATTAAGAAACAGAGAAAAGAAGAAACCCCAGAAAAGCAAATGGTACCTGAGGTGTTGCTGGAAGGGGATTCCCTTCCAAACTATAAACAATCCCTCTCTCTCCTCCTCCAGTCTCCCATACACTAAGAAGAATCTCCAATAAAGGTAAGTGTTATGCTGTTAATGTTTCATTCATCATTTCCCATTGTATTGTTTATGTACTACATGAATATTTCATGTAAAAAATTTTTTTGTTTTAATACTTCTGGGTGTCAGGAATGGATTAATTGAATTTACATTATTTCTTATGGGGAAAATTGATTCGTAAATCGACCATTTCGATAATCGACCGGCTTCCAGGAACGGATTACCGTCGATAATCGAGGGACCACTGTATACGTTTGGGGCGCTACGGGAGTGAACTTATATACACACGTTTGGACCGTTTAAGGGTTAAAGAAGAAATAAAAAATATATAATGGAATTTTTTACAATGGCCATTTTCCAAAAAGGTAGGTTTGGCATAGAGGTAATATAATCACTATCACTCTTTCAATGGCTATCTTGAGAGAAGTGCATAGATATTTCAATTAAATGATCCTACAGGAGCAACATTCCCACCCTTTCCTCAGAGTGCAAGCACAGTGATTTTCA